ATAAAGGCCAAAACTTCTCATTATAGCATCATATAGCAGACAATTCTACAATTCTCTAGCAGACGCTTTTATCCAAAGCAACGTACATCAGAGAGTAAGAGCAACACAAGCAAGGATCTAGAAAAAAGGGAACAATGTGAGTAAGAGCAAACGATCAGCTTTGAGTCTGATTGGACACACAGGTGCTGACAGGAAGTGACCAGAGGCAAAGCACAACATTGAGGGCAGTTCTTGAGAGCTCTAATCAGTATAGAAACCATCTTATAAGTTGTCGTTATCAAACAAAAACCATCGTCATTACCATCATCATCATCAATAATATGGAGACCATCATCATTAAGTTAGTAGGTATTCATGAAAGAGCTGGGTCTTTAGCTTTTTATTAAAGCTGCAGAGGGACTCTGCAGATCAATGGAGTTTGGAAGTTCATTGGATCATTCGAGCAGACTCTGTTGCTTTCTTTGACCACTTCTGGCTCATTTCTATTTACATCATGTCTTGCCTCATGAGACCCCACCTCAATACCCTCCGTCCACTAGGGGCTGTCTCCCGCTGTGAAGTGCATGTGTGAACATCCAACTCACAGATTTCGTCTCCCGGCTACCCAGCAGTGATTTAATTAAACGTATTAAAAAGTAACTACATATAAACAGACAGTTTTTTATGCTAATGGTTTTTTGCATTTGTAGCCCAAAGAGAGTCACACATATTTATTTCTTATTTTAGTCCCTCTTAAAAAACCTACTTTACATGAAGCACCTTCCATCTTTTTTTTTCTGTCTTACACCTTCGAGCTGACACGTCTTCACTAATTTCACACTAATTGGATCAAATTTGTCAAAACGGGTGCTGAGATGGTGAAGACGAGAGTGTGTGTAGGGTAACAGGACGGCAGGAGCTTCTTCACACCTCCCGTGAAGAGGGCTTGTGAGTGATACAGTCGGACACCAGAGGCGTTATAGCAACATTTCTTTGTGATTTAAGTCCAGGGGGGCGCAATTCACAACAAGTCTACGTGCGTGACAGCAAGTTTGTAAAAAAGTCTGTAAAAAAAGCAGTGCAGTGATTTTTGATAAGAGATATCAGTGTGTGTGTGTGTGACCACATCTTTGATCTCTGCTGACTGATGTGTGTGTGTGTGTGTGTGTGTGTGTGTGAGAAAGAGAGCGACATGGCGCTCGTGCCTGCTGCCTCCTGCAGATTGAGGTGAGAGCAGCCAGGTGGGGCCCCGGTCGTGTCTGTGTGCCACGGTAACTGGATGTGATGGCTGGCCTCTGGGGATCTGTGCCTTAGAAGTGCTAAACGAGCGAAGCAGAGCAATCACACTCTTCCTGTGTGCGTGTGTCACAAGCCCCGCACACACACACATATTTTCCTCGCTTTCCTGTTGCCAATGGCTCTGGTGTCTGCGTGGGGCGTGCGTGTCTGCTTTAAAGGACACTGCATTTATCCCCGGACTAAATATAAAGCACAGACGAGATGGGTGATAAGATTAAAAAAAAAAAAAAAAAAAAAAGGCCTTTTAATGTATTAAATGTTGCTTAGTAACAAGGCCTTTTAAATAACAAAACACACACAAACATGGCCGCCGCTGCAGGTCAGTGGTGGTGATGATGATAAGTGCTGCAGACAGTCCACATGTGGTGGAGCTGTAGCGCTGCGACTCCAGTCACAGAGGTGGTGACAAGACACTGGTTCCAGTCTGGAGAGTGTGACCCCCCCTCCTCTAAACAACCCCCCCCACCCCTGTCCTGCATGTCTCATTGTGATTGTTAGCCTGATGCCCCCTGAAAGGGCAAACTGCCCCCCAGCCCTTCATTAACCAAATGGAATTGACTTAATTCAATTAAGGAGTAAAATGTTCCTCCCATGAGAGAAGCCGATGTTTGTGTGCATTACTTCCTTTTGACTCTGTGTGTGTGTGTGTGTGTGTGTGTGTGTGTGTGTGTGTGTGTGTGTGTGTGTGTTCTTGTGCATGCCACATATATTACATTCTGTGAAATGAGCTCTCATGCATATGAAAACAAAGGCAAACGAGTGTGTGTCACAGGTTGTGTTCTTGCCGCGGGGCCAACAGAGACCAAGCGCTTGCTTTAGAGGCCTTCCGGTAACACCTGGACCTCCACAGCTCCCCCCCCCCCCCCCCCGCGCCCTCATGTTGCCGCTGCAGCCTGAGGTGAATGCCAAGAAGTCTCCGAGCCACTCCATCAAGCAGCCACCTCCCCCCCCACCCTCACCCCAACCCCAACCCAACCCAACCCAACCCAGGGGAACGCCAGCCAATGAATTACAGATTAGATCATTGTTACAGGATCATAACAGTGATCTAATTGCCAATTTCTCTTTTTTAATTGAATCTGGTGGAGTGAAGAGGCAGAGATAGGATTCAGGGGACTTTGTGTGGAGCCGATTTGGGAGCGGGGTCCGTTGTTGACTGGACACGCCGGTTAATTAGGGGGGGGGGGGGGAATAACGGAGCTTGACATTCGGCGGCAATCCTGGGCGTTGACTGCAGAAAAAGTCAGGCTTGATATCCTCCACTGTGCTTCTTGTTCTTGAATGAATCTTGTTTTCGCTACGTTTCGCTGAAATCAGTCAAACTGTAACGACATCTCGAGGACTCGTGTTTAAAGCGTTGTGATTCTCATTTCATTTTTCTACTTTGGTAACAATCTAATGCTACTGGTACCTGGTTGATACCAAAGCACCAAAAGTAGAAGTCCAAGACACCCTATACCAGGTCACTTCATGATGTTGATTAACTTGATTATTAGGCAGACGTTGGGATTTGTTGCAGGAGACATTGGCAGTGTTGGGATTCACCCGTTGGACGTTGCCAATGTTTTGGTGTGATCTAGACCAGTGGGTTGGGAAACTTGAGAAATAAAGAGGGGGGGCGCGAGATTCCTTCCAAAAACATCTAAAAATCAATGTAGCATATCTTATTATCATTATTGTGAAAATATATTTAAAAAAGTAGTTCGGTAGGTTCTTCTTTGAGCGTTTCTTACGATAAATTACTAAAATAATATTACATGTTTGGGCTGTTCTAATGCCACTATTTGGATATGCGTAATAGTGCAACATTAAATGGTTTAACTACTTCCAGGGACAATGTCGTCCCCAGTTGCTTGCACTGTTATTTCGGGGGTCTCGGGCTGAAAAGTTTGGGAATCCCTGATCTAGACAATGTGCAGGAGTTTGCAATTTTGGAAGGACTTATTCTTCTCTAAGATACTTTTCTTATGAACAAGTGTTGAGGAAATTACTAAGACTTGACTTCACACAATAAGACTCAGTAGACTCAGATGGCTTAAGTTGATGAAAGTTTATACATAAGAAGAATACTCGTGAGGAGACATGGATCAACATCACACTTCTGTACTCGTGTCTTGCTCAACCACATCTGCAGAACTCTTCGAAAGGCATCGCATATATTCCAAAAAGACATTATCATTATCAGGGTCGTGTCACATTGACCCACCTAGACTAATCTGTGATGTCTAGTACACTGGAGAAGACAACAAGTCTACCAAACATCCTGATAGCAGATATCAGGAAAAACAGTTGACACTCTCTAAGCTGTACTTGGTGTTTTAAGAACAGCTGAGCTCTGTCAGGTCTGACTCACATTAGAGAACAGTGAATAAACCTAATGACGTCTGTACATTATAATCTAAATAACTGCAGAAATTCCACCACAACAAGATGTAGTTTCTCTCAAGTTTCAGTACTATCGTTCATTAAAATAAAGAGATTGTACCCTTTTATAATGTTGACTTCCTTCATTTAAATCTTTCAGTGGGTCATTGTGTAATCGAGGTGTGGTTACAGAAATATCTCAGGGTTAGCTGAGGCTGTGGTGGAGGGAGGGGCCCATTGTGATATATGTTCATCTGAAATCCTGGAGACGCCCCTGTACATGTGTACACACCATAGTTTGGGAATCACAGTGCCGAAGAGAATCCGCCTCAAACGGTTTTTTATCGACATATAACCCTCACATGTTTGCACAATGCACCTGAATCTTCACTCCTTCTAGTTTTCCTCCTTTGTTGTCCCTGCTCTCTTTCTTCTCCTGCAGACGTCTTTAATGTGCATCCTCAGCCCTGCTGCATGCTCTCTGACCCGACATGATCTAATTGCAGTTTTGTCTGTGTCTTGCCTCTGCATCCTCACCTCCACCTCTAGAATCCCTCCACCCACCCACACGGTCCGGCCGTAAACGAGCTCCACAGTGTTTGTCTGATTATAGCTCGGTTAAATGAGATGAGATAAGTTAGCCTCCGCGTCTCCTGCACAGCCTTTGCTTGAGAGCTGACAAGCCCAATACATCTGCCGTGGCCATGGTAATTGAGATGGGGAGGGGAGGAGAGGGGGCTGGATGTGAGGGAGTGATTTGTGTGTGTATGTGTGTGTAAAGCCGTGTGAATGGGAGTAGAGGAGGAAGAAGGGGGGGGGGGCTCCCTCTGTCTCTTGTTCCTCAGTACCTGTCATTGATGAGGAGCCAAGGAGAAGCTTCAGCTTGAAGCTGTCATCGGCCCTCTGAATCTGTCTGCCTCACTCTATCATCCCCCCCTTCTCATCCTCACTCCCCCCCCTCTCTCTCTCTCTCCCTCAGTGTGTGTGATGTGGATGCAGAGTGTGTGAGTCGTGAGCCAGCCAGCTAAGCGTGTGTGCACACCGTAGGAATCTGTGCGACCAGAGCTCTCGAGGCGCTCAAATCGGAGAGACGCCAGCAAGAGAGCGACTGGGGTTGCTCGCTCGCTCGCCCGCCACCCTGACACTGCCGAGACCGACGCTCCCCCTCCCGGACTGACAGGCCAATCGCAGGCCACCGCTCAACCCTCCCCATTCCAACAGCACGCTCTCTCTTTCTCTTTCTCTCTCTCTCTCAATCTCAATCTCACTCCTCCTCCTCCTCCTCCTCCTCCTCCTCTTCTTCTTTCTCTCTCACTCTGGTTCCCATTCCTTTGCGCTCAATCCGTGCATCCCCTCCTCCTCCTCCTCCACATTCTCCTCCTCCTCCTCCTTCTTCTCACACCTTTTGGTCCAGAGAGGAAGAGGAAGCCCAGCCCAGCGAGAGAGACGCTGAGAGGATGAAACTCTGACACGCCGACAGACCACAGGGAAACAAGAGCACAACTGTGAGTACAGCGGTCCTTTCACCTCTCACTCAGGCTTAACGCCGTCACACACACACACACCTCAACTCTCACACACAAACACACACTCCCTCACTCACACTCGCACGTGTCCGCCACATTGACTTCAAACACACAACGGTGACTTTGACTCCATATCCAGAACTCATCCTCCATCCCTTTTCTCGAGTGTCTTTGTCTCAGTCAGAGAAGTGCAGGAATGTGTTGAACATGTGTTTTTTTTAATTTGTGCTGTTTCTATGGTGCTGTGCCTTGTGCTAGTTTTGTATGCAAACAAAAAAAACAAAAAAACAATCAAGCAAAAAGTGTGTTTCCTACTTTTGCAAAAAAAATAATGCCTTTGACATTTCTCCACACTTCACTTTTCTGCTCTTTTGCAAAAAAAAAAAAAAGTCAGCGGCACGTTTCTTCTTCTTTGTTTGGGCTCAGATGAAAAAAAAATCACTCATGCAATATGCAAGGTCAACTGAATAATGTTTTCACACGCTGCGCCTCATGTTGGGAGCGTCTTTTGTCTGCTGTTTTTTTTATTTTTTTATTGCCAATATAGACACGCCGGATCTCCACATGAGGAGAGTGTCCCTGCTCTTATCTCTACCATCTTAAACGTATAAGCTGCTATAAGCCAATAGATGCCCGCTGGGTGGGAAAAAAAAAAAAGAAGGGGGCGTACTTTCCTTGCAACGGCAATCCCCCCCTCTGCTTATTGTTTAGCGCTTTAGCCAGTGGGGGCGGTCTGCATGCATGCATGCACGCCCGGTGGCTGATCTGCACCGTTTGCGCCGCACTAGTTTTTTGATTATGTTCCCGGTTCATCTCTGGCCGAGGCGATTTCCTATTTCCTTCTCCCATTTCGAGAAGCGGGGAGTGTAATATGATAGCGGGGAAGTGCAGACAGTGGATCCGCACACAGAGGACACAGATTGCATTTCCCCTGGAGAATGCTCCCGCTGTATTAAAAGGCAACTTGGAGGGCTGCTTGCCACTTGTCATCAGCTACCGCTAGTAAAGCCGGCGAGGGGGGGGGGGAAAGTAGACGCGGTGTTTACGGCCGCTCTCTCATTTAAAGAGCTCCCATTGGCCCCCTAATGCCACAGCTGCATCGCGCCCCGGCCCGCCGCTGCTTCTCCAGGTTATATTACATTTGTGAGGCCCAGGATATTGCGTGGCGCCCTCGCTTTGCTTTGACAATCTCATGAGGAGCAAATGTAGAAAATGAAAAGATATATATGTTAAACACCTGATACATTGGATTTTGTTGTTGCACTATAAACTCCTGGTGTCAGATCTACAGTATTAGCATTTTAATGATTTGCTTTAACATGCACTACAGCGCCTGTTTACGCTCCAAATTGAATTCATATTACTCCTCATATTTTTTTTTGCAGCTCGGTTTCTACTCACTCCTTTTAATGTCTTTGTTGTTAATTTATAATCGTAAGGATTTCCTGACATGTTAAGCAACCATAGGTGATATAGATATATATATTTTTTTCCACGTTGCTGAATCCAAAACGAAGGGATTGGTGTGGAGTGTTTGAGATGTGAAGTGACACATCAATGGCTCTCGAGGCCCCAGACAAGCCTCTGGTCGCCCATGTGTCAGCAAAAGTGAATGAAAAAAAAAAAACCCTGAGACTCACTTTCTCCTCCGTCTGGCCTTGGCAAATTTACAGAACCCTTGTGGTTTAACACACACACACACACACACACACAGACACACACACAGACACACACACAGACACACGACATTAAATCAAGGTAAACAAGACAATTACCTACCCTTTCCTCCTCTGATGTTGCCCCCCCCCGGCCCCCCTCCCTGGTGAGGGTTATTGGAAAAGACTGATTAGAGGTGGAGTTGGAAGGCACACTGATTCAGACACACATAACTCCCACTGACCATGCATCACCTAGAACTACCATCAAAGCTCTGATCTTCTTTGCATGGGGAACACTACAAAAGCTACATCAGAAAAAGTAATTTAAAAACTCTCGCCATTAATGCAACTCTCATTCCAGGTTTGCCTCCAGGCTTTGGTAGAAAAATTCGGCTTTTTTGAAAACTTGGAAAGCCTTTCTCTTCTTTTTTTTCCGACTGGGTCACTCACCGTCAAATTTATCTTCTCCATGTTGCATGTAGCATTGTTAAGGGATATATTCAATGTTAATGTTAATAGTCGTTTTAATGCTTGGGAACATATCTAGTTACATATTTCACCCCAGAGGTGCTTTTTTCTCGTAGAGGAAGTCCGGGATCTTTGCAGTTATAAAAAAACCCGCTGGTGAAGGCTAAGATAAGTAACTGCCATACCATATTTATGACTATCTGCTCGTGTATCTGCACTTATTGATTACACGGTTGGTAACCAGTCCTGATCATCAATAGAGATCCTTACAAGGCGAGGGCAGATAGTCTTTCCTCTCTCCCTGAAGGCTCAATTACACAGTGTGCACGAGGAAATGAAGGGTGGGGGGGGGGGGGGGGGGGGGGGGCGGCCTCTTGACAAGGTCAAATTATACACGTCAGCCTTAAAAATAAAAAATAAAAAATCATATCGTTACGGTCTTTCGGCTACATCTGAATGTATGAAGTACGACGAGGAGTCGATAAATGTTGAATAGCAGAGTTCTTTAAATATTCACATACTTTGCTGATTAAATGATGTCGACCGGAGGAGACAGCGAGAGCTCCTTGTGGCTGTGTTTTCATTTATTCTCAGAAATATCTCCGACCTGACTTTGGGGGCATTTGGATGCAACTAATTGCACATCTTGAATAAATCAGCAGTCCAATTTACTAATTTGCCAACTTGTTTCTCATTTATACATCATTGATTACAATCGCAAAAGACCCCATCATGTGTTTGTGTTCCAGCCTTGACACCGTTGCGGTTTTCTACTTTTGTTGCAGCAGAGAAGAAGAAAAAAAGTTGATTTCGGCCATAATTGGTGTTTAGCCACCGTGCTCGTCCTCTTAGACAATGGCACCTATTCAAAAACTCATGAATATCATAATTCATTGATGAAGGACATGTGTAGCAAGTACTGAAGGTACTTTTCTTTTTGTGTGTTGGTAGAATGCCCAAAGGCAGAATTGATTTGTTCAGTTCAGAAGGATTCGTTCTTCTTCTCACCTTTGTGAGAAAGATGGTGATTGTAGTCCAAAGAGCTGCTGGAGGATGAGCAGATGACTCCAACTACAAAGTTTGGAAAGCTATACAGATCCACCAAAGCACTAGGAGCTAGTACATTGGTAACACGTTTATCTGTAGTACTATGTATCCATGCAGATAGTCATTTTTACTCACAAACAATGGAGGTAAATGGTGTTGTTGTTGTTGTTGTTGTGTTGTTGTTGTGCAGGACGGTGAATTCTACAATTCTACAATTCTCTTAGCAGACTCTTTTATCCAAAGCGATGTACATCAGAGAGTAAGAACAACACAAGCAAGGATCTAGAAAAAAAAGGAACAATGTCAGTAAGAGCAAACGATCAGCTTTGAGTCTGATTGGACACACAGGTGCTGACAGGAAGTGACCAGAGGCAAAGCACAACATTGAGGGCAGTTCTTGAGAGCTCTAATCAGTATAGAAACCATCTTATAAGTCGTCGTTATCAAACAAAAACCATCGTCATTACCATCATCATCATCAATAATATGGAGACCATCATCATTAAGTTAGTAGGTATTCATGAAAGAGCTGGGTCTTTAGCTTTTTCTTAAAGGTGCAGAGGGACTCTGCAGATCACATGGAGTTTGGAAGTTCATTCCACCACCGGGGGGCGACAGAGGAGAAGAGTAGTCAGCGTCTTAGGACCCTGTTGTGAAGGTTGGATCAGACGCCTTTCATTAGCAGAGCGTAGAGGGGGGGAGGGAGTGTAGACCTGGATGAGGAGTATATGCTGCTTGATGTGGTTGTTGGAAGGTTTTCATGAAGGTCTTGGTATGGAGGGACAGGCTGGGAAGATGATGTCATGCTTCTTAATGGTTCATTTTATTTATTTATCTATTTTAATGTTCTCAGGTCTGGAACTTTACAGATCAACTTGTCGCTCGTTTGTACGATTGGAAACGGCGCACTGCACTTTTAACCATGTACCATGCATTTGCACTTCCTATGCTTGATGTATTGTCTGTGTTTTATTAAGTATATGGGACTCTCCCTTCAACCAAATGTACCTTACGGGTACACATTAAGTAACCTGAACCTGATGCTAGTTATATTTTGCTTTTATTTACCATGTAATCCAATGTAGGAAGATACACTTTTGAAATCAATTTTTTCATCTAAAAAGTGGACAGCTGCATCTATCAATCAATCAATCAATCAATCAATCAATCTTTATTTGTACAGCACCAATTCACAACAAGTGTTATCTTGAGACGCTTTACAAAAAGCAGCCGTTGTCCACCAACAATCCTGAGGAGCCTTCGAGACATGAGAGCTCAGGAGCTTCAGATGTGGTTAGTAACTAAGATTAAAGATAACGGCATGAAGTAATATGATGTGAATGCACAGAGAGAGAGATGTACCAGTGCGACCAACATACCAGTATAAAAAGCTGAGACATGCACCTTCATTACAGCGAGTTCAGCAGATGACAACCTGGCGTTTCGAGACAACTCGCTTCCATTCGTCGTGTAGTCGCTTCACTGCTCTGTGTGTTGACACACCAGGCTGGCGGCGCCACATTTGAACTGCTTTTCTGGCTTATTAGATAATAATTTTGCTTTTAAAGAAAACGGTAGTATACTGTTGAGTAAGTAAACCTCGTGGAGAGCTGGTTTGATTGAAAAGAATCCTCAGTTGAAGTCAACGAGGGACCAGTGGAGGTCGGCAGCATGTTGACCATAGGCTGAGAGATCAACTACCGTACTGTAGCTAGTATGAGTACAAACTCCTCATGGTGAAAACCAATGGTACTCTGCACAGAAACTACACGTTGTGGAATTTGCTGTAAGCAGTAGGAATGTACC